AGGTTGCTGTGCAGGCCAGTCCCTCACTGCAGGAGATGCATGTCCGCTAGTGTGTTTTGGGGCATGTCTCTGTCAGTGCATCTGGGGGCAATGCACTGGGGTTGGTCTGGCCTCTGCCACTGACATGGCCACTGCAACCCACCGAGTCAGCGGGGCACATTAGGAGCCTGCCAGCAGCCAGGCATCGCTGTGCGCAAAGCCTGGCACTTCGCATTGGCGGCTGCCGCCCAGAGTCTGTAAAAACTAAGTGGGTCTGATGGTGTCATAAACAGATAGTTAAGGGTTAATGCCTCTTTTACCTGTAAAGGGTTAAGAAGTTCACCTAGCCTAGCTGACACCTGACCAGAGGAACCAAGCGGGCGGGGGACAAGGTGGTTCAAAAGGAAGGAAGGAAGTTCCCTTTGTTTAGTTTCAGTTTTAAGTTTAGACCAGAGTGGGAAAGCTCCAGAATTCAGCCTCTTATCAAGTAGTGAGTATTAGTGAAGGAAATAAATAGGTTTATGTTTATTTTCTTTCTAACTTGTCTTGGACATTAGGGAATAATCATATTGGGTATGTTTTGTGTAACTAAGTTTTTGCCCAGGGGGACATCCTCTGTGTTTGGAATCTGTTGTCTGTGAGAGTATGTGGTATGCTAATCTCTCCCAGAGGGTTTTCTTTTACCTTTCTTTTCTTTAATTAAAAGTCTTCTTTTTAAGAACCTGATTGATTTTTCCTTGTTTTAAGATCCAAGGGGGTTGGATCTGGGCTCACCAGGAATTGGTGGTGGAAAGGAGGGGGGATGGTTACATTCTCCTTGTGTTAAGATCCAAGGGTTTGGATCAGTGTTCACCAGGAAATTGGAGAAGAAGTCTCTCAAGGCTACCCAGGGAAAGGAGTTAAAACTTGGGAGTGGTGGCAGCAAAACCAGATCTAAGTTGGTAATTCAGTTCAGAGGTTCACATACAGGTCCCCATTTCTGTACTCTAAAGTCCAGAGTGGGGGTGAAACCGATGACAGATGGTGCCGACACCATGGGCAGCACAAAAGGGCCTGGCAACAGGGAACGCATAACTTCCCTAGCTCTGATGTTTCCTGCACCAGAACAACTAGTCCCTGGCTCTGGTAATCTCCCTCATGCCTATATAC